TTTAAGTCAACATAATTTATCTACATTATATGGGAAACCTAGCCTAGGCTCCAGAGCAGACTGGCTGGTTTTAACCACTCTGAGCTATGTGGCTCCAGGCAACTCACTTACTCTCCTCATCCTTCAGTGTCTTCAACTGGAAGAATAATGGAATTTACTATATATAGCCATTTTGTAGATTAGATGAAATAATCTAAGAACCCAGAACAGTGCCTGGTAAATAAAATATCTGATATAAGTGATAATTTTGTAATAAAATTTACCATAGACCCCTTCACACAGGTACCCCCAAAACATCTCTTTTTCATTTAAGCTATCATCTAAACTTAATGCCATTACTAGGTCTGGAATCTACCTTTGTTCCCTTTGGGGAAATTACAGGGGTACCTGTCTTATCTCAGATTATGTGACAAAGCAAAGTAAATGTAAATATGACATGATTGTAACACAATGTGATCAATCCAGTGAGAGGACAATGCAGAGAGTATTACCATCTCCAGTTCACTCCCCAATCATCTCTCATGTGAATTGCACTGTTTCCAATCATGTTACCCTCCTTTTAACCCAGAATTCCTATTCTCTGTAGAACTGATTTGACTGTATATTATCTGGCTATGGTTTTTTTCTCCTTCTCCTGCCCTGTTCAGCTTAAAGTACTCTATGTCTGTTAGCTAGATTATGAACAAATGCATCCTGCCCCTCCATCCATTCTCCACTTGACCAAGAATGCATCATCTTGCTGCCTTATACCAGGATTCACACATCCAAACCCTAGTTGTCAACACTATCTGCCCTTTCCCTTCAAGATCTTCCTCAATCATCTGAGTCCCATCTGAAGATAGAAATGATGAAGAATAATAGTCACCCTTTCTCCAATAGGTGCTATGTACCAGGACATGTGTTCATGGCTTCCCACTCAATCCCTAATCCTAATACCATAGGCATTACAGTCAGCACCCACAAGATTTCCTATAAAGTATCTCTTTTAAACCCAGAGATAGGAAAAATTAAAATGCATTCGAAATTAAACTGTAAAATCAATACACAGTAGATCAGAAATATGTTGTCACCTTAAATACCTAGAAAGTGAAGAGTCTTGCATTAATTGACCAAAACCAGATAGAATGCGTAAAGTTTTCTAAAGAAAGAATGTGCCATAAAAATTGTAGAAAAAGTCAGTCACTAGTTGGTCACCCCAAGAATCATTCCCAACTCCAACTCTCTTGTCACTTTCTACTATATAGGATGAAAAAGCCAACTACTTGCTTTTCCAGCTTCTTTGCAGCTGGAGGGATAGGAGGCAAGCATGTAAAGGAACCATGCAATGGGATCACATAACCCAATTCCGACAAATGAGAAATACTGGAAGTCTGCTGGGGATGTCTACAGGAGGTTTTGCTTTTATAACAAAGGGGGGGCGCTCCTCCCCCATCTCTTCCTACCTGAATGAGAAACGTAATGGCTATGACCAGAAAGGACATGGCACTTAAACTTTAATAGATCTGAGCTCAAATCTGTTTTTCCACAACTGGAGGTGCAGTGTTGGGCACATTCTTTAACATGTCTCAACTGTAAATGGGTTTAATAGTATCTGTAGATGTTCCGATGTTATATCATTTCCAGCTGGCACCTTCACGGAATTACCAGATTTTAATCAGAAGGCACTTGACACCATTACTACTCTCTGGGTGCATCCAAATCCCTTGTTCTGCCCCTATCTCTGAATAAAGTCCATTTATCAAACTCTCTCAATTGGACCATTTCAATGTGCTATTTACTTTCTGCTAGAGCCCCAACTGATGCAACCACTGATGAAATATGCATGTCTGAGGTGACTTCACTTGGATCAAGAGTAACCAGTCCAACTAGACCTCAGAGGCACCCTTCAATTCAAAGACTCCAGAGCCAAGCCTTCCTTCCCTTCCCTGGGGACCCTGGTCTCCCACCTGTCTCAGGAATGGACACACACACACACACACACACACACCCATCCCACCCCAACCAAAGAAAAGGAAATAGCATCTAGGCAGGGTCAATAGCTGGATTTGACTTTTATGGAATGAAGAAAAAGCAGAAAGGACTAAAATGCTTTAAACTCCATCCAGTTTCATGTTATATCCCTAAAGCCTACTGTAGTGCTGTCAGTGAGCTCAATAAATGAATCATAGAAAGGACTCCCCATGTCCATATCCCCACTCCAGCCTAGGAAAGAAGGAAGAGCAGAGATGAAGGGGAAAAGCTTCTTGCACAACTAGGATGGAGGGAGGAGGAGGCCAACAATTATTCAATGATCTCAACAGTCTGGAATTACTTATATGGTGTATATTGTGCACATATCTTCCATTAATTTTGATCAGGCTATCAAAATCTTGAATTTCCTTATTTCCATCTGATATAATTTCTCTTATTTTGAGAAGCAGCTTTCCTCATGCTTAGTGGCCAACTTCCATTTATTGTTTAGCCTGAAAATTAACACAACAAAACCCCAGTCCTGCCAGAATCATACAGTTTCCATAATCTTAGTGGCCTTGAGCTTTTCCTTCTGGGCTTCCCTGCTAAACCAACTGTTGCACTGCCTAGAGCTAGGCTTCTGGATTTTCTGGCACTTCCGGGCTACTCATACCATTCTATCCCTACTCCTGCTATCTTAAGATATGCCTTTACTGCTCCCCGGATAGCCATTTGCTACTGCCAGCAATTTACCAGTAATCAGCAGCAATTAGCAGCAGCCCAAGTAAACACAAATTAGAAGCAACTCAGCAAACTCAGAGGGAGAAATCTCTGAGAATTTTGGACAATGTATGATCTCTTCTCTTCCTCCAGCTGAAGAGAAAAGTCTTACACCTATCTCCCCAGAACTCTAAAGAGACTGCTAATGTACATTAGATCCTGTAAACTCACAAGAAGCCATTCTTTCTTTGGGTCTGCAACGTATCTTTCTGGAACTCCCTCCATGAAACACAGTTTGGCATGCTCAGGTGTAGCCAGATGGCAAGTGACTAGCTTCATGTTATCCCTCAGTGATGAAGGTTCGGAAGTCATTCACCTTGAGTTTCTTCTGACAGCAAAATGACACCAAAGGACTTCACAGGGGTGATGTTCAGAGGTGGTTCATGAGAATTAACATGAATATGTTAATATCATGTTATCATGAATATCATAAATACTAATACCCTCATTATTCCATTCAAGACACAAATTGGCCATGCCCACCATCCAATGCCCAGAGGTCAAGGTCTGATGAAAAATAAGACATGGGCATCAGTCAGTATGGAACCACTGGTCATCTGAAGAAAACCAATCCGCAATCTATCTACATATCATTAAAAACAAACGATTCTTAAGCCTCTCTATGTTCTAGACACAGTGTAGGCACTGGTATTCAGAGTTAAGGAGTTCATAGGTGGGAAGAGAGTGAGATATCTAAGCGGACAGTTATTATACAGTATGATAAACACTGTGATAGCAGGAAGCACTGGGTGCTAGGGAAGCTTGTAAGAGAACATCAGGAAAGGCTTCCTGAGAGAATGATGCTCAAACTAAGCCTTAAAGAACAAACAGGAATCAGTAGGGCAGAGACATCCAAGGGCACATCATGTGCAGATGATCTGAGACAATGAGAGAATCTGGGACATTTGGGAGCTGTACTTTAGTTCAGCTGGTAGGTCAGGAGACAAGAAAGGCATGAAGTAGCAATAGACGAGACTGAAGAAAGAGAGTCAAAGGAGGCAAAAATCTAGAGGTTCTTGGTGAATTCCAAGGTTCTTCCAATCACTATTTTCTTTTTTTAAAAAAAGAGCTATTAAGGGGCACTTGGGTGGCTCAGTTGGTTAAGTGTCATGATCTCAGGGTCCTGGGATCGAGCCCCACATTGGGCGCCCTGTACCATAGGGAGCATGCTCCCTCTCCCTTTCTGCCTGCTGCTCCCCTTGCTTGTGTTTGCTCTCTCTCTCAAATAAATAAATAATATCTTTAAAACAAAAGAGCCATGAAAGAATAGAATTTTAGGAACAGAAGAGAACTTGGATATCAACTACAGCCATATATTTTATAAACAGGTAAGCTCAAGCCTACGGAGGTCAAATCAGGATATGAGGCAATACACCGAGATGATGATAGTTCACATATGTATAACATAGCCCATCACACTCTTTCATTGCCACATATCAATAATGGAGGTAAACATGAACAAGCCAAAAGTTATTAGCATGCCTCAATCACTGCCCAGGATGAGTATTCTTCAGTAAGTCCTTTTATGTCTCTGGATCTCATTTTCTTTTCTTTTCTTTTTTTTTATTTATTATAGTCACACAACAGAGAGAGAGAGAGAGAGAGAGAGAGAGGCAGAGACACAGGCAGAGGGAGAAGCAGGCTCCATGCACCGGGAGCCCGACGTGGGATTTGATCCTGGGTCTCCAGGATCACGCCCTGGGCCAAAGGCAGGCGCTAAACCGCTGCGCCACCCAGGGATCCCTGGATCTCATTTTCACATCTACAGAATGACTAAGGCTTTTTCCAGTTCTAATACTCCACATTCCTAGAAGCTAGCACTACTGAGTCTTTATTGCCATGCTGGAAAAGAATAACTTTTCCTCCAAACGCCTGGAGTCATAATTTTCTGAAGGTTTTCAAAGGTTTTTACAGTTCTGTGTCTGATCTAACCTGTATTTCTAATTATAATCCTTTTCATGCTTAAACAAACTAGTTACAAATAATCTAACACCACCCTTATTAAAACTGTCTCCAATTAAACGAAAAACCAAGATGCCTCCATAAACTCTGGAAACACCTCTGATCCCCAAAGAGTCAGTGTTGCACTCCAAACTGAAATTGTTTCATGATATGCAAACAAAGTCCCAAAAATTACAGCTTTCTTTTTTAGTTTAAACTTAGGCACTGAAAACCCACAGGAACATTCAATAATAAAGAAATGAATATGTTGCACCTTCTGCCTTTCTCAACATTTATTATTAAAGACATTTGCAGGAAAGCAGGCTCACATTGCTTAGGAATCCATCCAGCCCTGCTGATAATTCTCACTATGAGGTAAGAAGCACAATCCGAGAGGTCCTTCATCTTCTGGAGAGTGGAACAATGTGGCTGTCAACACAAAGACTGAAGATGCAGGTGGACGCTACTCAGCAGGAGCAAAAGGATCCCTCGGTAGCAGTGATCATGTTTCATGCAAATGACCTGAAAATCAAGAGAAAGGAAAAAAAAAAAAACAAAATGTAATTTTCTAAGTTTTTCAACAATGGTATATCTATTTTAAAAATAAGGGTTCTGTGCTTCAGGGCACTGTGCTTTAGTGTGAGATCTGAACATGGAAAAAGATCAGTTGCCCTCAAGGAGTTTACAAGGAACAGGAGAGATGAAAACTTAAAGTAGAAGGCAGCAAGAGATGAGTATCACAAAATCAGAAGGTGAGTTCAGAGAGGAGAGAAATCACATGCTGTGGTATCAGTGAGGCTACAACCAACTTGGGCAGAGCAATGCAGGGCTGTGGCAGGAGGTAAATGAAGCAACTGTGCTCCAGTTGTCTGAACCACCTCCCTCTCACCAAGCACTCTTCCTTCACTTAACAATTTCCCTCCTTGCATCATCTGGATTTCTGTCCTTCTTTCTTCTCCTTCTTTCACTTGTTCATTATGTATCTCCTCCACTAGAATGCAAGCTCCATGAGAGCAGAACTTTGCCTTGTTGTCTTCAATGTCTAGATCAGTGACTAGTGTGGAATAGGTATTGAGTAAATGGTATAGGAAGTAAGGCAGGCATGCAGGAAATAAGGAAAGGAAAGGGAAGGAGGGAGGGAAGATACAGTCCACAGAGATGAATTTATGACCCTATCATCTTTACCTTACATCTTATCTACATTTTAAAGTTTGATGCGGATTACTTGCACTGAGAGATCTCCCTCTGCGCCCGTTAGCCTACCTAATTCTTAACTTGGCCCTAAATTCTTTTACAGTTCTGTGTCTGGCCCTTCCCCATCATGCATTCCACCAAACTCCACAATCATTTGTACATGCCATGTCTTTGCTCCTGCTGTTCCTGTGCCTAAAATAGCATCCTTCTTGTACCCTTCTCTGCCAGATAAACTCCCACTCACTCTTCAAAACACAATGTAGCAATTTAGCAATACTTAACAAAATGTTAAATGTACACTCCTTTTGATCCATCTACCCACTTTTGGAAATGTATTCTTGAGGTTTTCTCACATAAGACCAATGTGAGCTCTTCTAGGAAGTTCTACACTCTGAGGCCAAGCCACAGGCTCTCCTGTGTTCGAGTAACACACAGAGCACCCCTCTCATTTATCATTTATCCTACAGTGTGTACCTATTCCTTTACAAAGTATTCTCCTCATAATAAACCTGAGCCGCTCAGGAAACTTATATCCCTAATGGGTAGACAGACAAAATATCAGTAAGAGCACAAATAAATACATAAATATATACTTTCAAATAAAAGCTGGAGAAAAAAAGAGGGATAATGCAACCTCCAAATAAGGAATGAGGAATCTCCTTTTTTGGGGGGGGGGAATGGAAAATGTTTATGTTAAGGAAAACGAAAGAAACGAAACTGCTTATAAATTATAATCATGGCTACATATAAAAATGTACCCTAAAGACATTTCTCAGAAAAACTGGACTGAGATATACCTAAAGAGAATCTACCTTTTTTAACTTATTGTATACTTACTGTGTAACACAGTTGACATATTTTTAAATCTAAATTCTCCTCTAAGTGGCAGTACTATGCACTTTGATATTCTATGCTATCTTGCAGGCATCTAGGTCCTGTCTGCCCAAGTATGCTGTATGATTATGGCAGACAGAATCCATATCCTGTACATCTTTTGCCTGCCCCCATGTCACCTAGCACAGGATACACAGAAGGATTTCAATTACTACCTAGTTGATTGGTCATAGAAATAACTGAAAGCACAGGTGCTACTGACAAGTTTGAAACATCATCTATGAATAAAGTGATCAAATTCATGGAGAGAGAGGAGTCCAAAAATGGTCCATGACTACCTCATATTAAAACAAAAACCAAAACCTCTGAGGCTATAGATGAGTATAACTTTAACATCTGAATTTATTGCCTATATAGTGAATTTGTGACTTGTAAGAAAAAAACTTTACTTTGAAGGAGTACAGAAACCTACAGGAAGTGCATCATGCATGGCCTCTGATTTCTATACTCTCTATTTTCTAAAAGGAGAAGGAAAAGGCAGAGAATCACACACACTATTAATAAAATGAACAGGCAAGTCACAGATTGGGAAAAATTATCACAACATATATATGGAATATTATTGCACGTGTACTGGATTGGCAAAATTTTTAAAAATCTGACATTAAGAAATGTTTTCAAGAATGTGGCTCATTGGGAACTTTCATCCATTGCTGCTAGAAGTGGAAATATATCCAGCTACATACAGTTGATTCTCATTATCGGGAGTAGTTATGTTCTATTTATAAAGTTGCCACAAACACTGAATTAGCAAATATTGAACCACTGCTCTTGGGAGAAAGAAAGGGTTAGTTTCCTCCAAGTTTCTAGTCACAATGTTTTCATCAGCCAGTCAATAGCCATAAACTTGTTTTATGTGTGCTTCTGTTTAAAGACACCTTATTTAATATATGTTGTGGATTTATCAACATTGAATTCAGGGCTGATAGCACTATAACTTACACCTAAAGGAAACATTTAAAATACATATATTCTCCACAAGGCAAATCATAGTTTTCTTGTGCTTAGGAACACTAGACAGCACTTCATTACTACACCTGGGGCTCATTTTAAACAGTGAAATCAACAAAAAAAAACCACAAAAATATAAAAGACGTGGCACTAATAGACATATAAAGGACACTTGTTCACAGTAAGGTGAAAAAATAAGGCAGAGTGTCACCTGATTCAACTTCCGCTGGGAATGTGCACATTGGCAAGTCAAATATTTTGTCACTCTGCACCTGTCTGTAGTTAACCATGAAAGCAGCATAAGTATTGATGTTGGAGTCAAAATAAATTCTATCAAGGAGAACTCATAAATGCAGAATCTGCAAATAATGAAGATAGACTGTACTTTAGTTAGAGCATTTATAGTCATTATTATATATCAGTACAATGATGAGCATCCACCATAACCCAGCTATTTTCTCCTTGGCATAAACCCTTAGAAATTCTTGTACATGTTCAACAGAAGATATATACAGGTTTAATTTTAATATATCATTCATAATGGCCCCAAACTGGAAGCAACCTAAATACCCATTCTCAGTAAAATGGGTAAATATATTGTAGAAGAGTTACATAACTGCAACACTATATAGAAACATTGTTTAAATTTTTTTCTTTAAATTCAATTAGCCCACATATAGAACAACAAACATTTTTAAACTACAATTTCCTGCAACAATGTGAGTGAATTCCACTAATAGTGTAGAAGGAAAGATGGCATCCATAATGTAGTATTAAATGAAAGAATATTCACTGCATGATCCCATTTTATAAAACATAAAGTTTTTAATACTTCTTTTTTTGTTGAGGAATACAAACAGGTGGTGATATTATAAGGAAAAGCCAAAAATATTTATTACAACAAATATTTAAAATATGCATATAAGTTTGTGATGTGGGAAACAAAGGCAAAAGAAAAATTAACATTTCCTTACTGCTCACAGCCCATTGACTAGTCCTTGAAATAGGCAGAGTGACATCCTCTAGGAACTCAGCTGCCTTGATGTTAATACTTTGCTGAGGGCAAAAGGTAATCTTAGCCCCCACCGTCTACTTTAACATATAAAATTTCCTTTGGAAACTTCCTTTATCTATATACACTGCCCCCCAAGCATCATCCCTAAGCATATGGCCCACCAATATACATGTGAAGAGTTTCATGACTAGGGTTTTATTAGACAGTAATAAATGACCTTTACCTAACAACAGCTAACTCCCTCAAGGACCTGGAAACCTTGCTTCTGAAAATCCTTAGAGACTAACTCTATCCTTAACACCCTCCCAACTTGAAATTATATGATTGGTCACTCCTTATGACCCTAGTGTAGCTCTTTCTGCCCACAGATTCTGTCCCCATGCCTTAATAAAACCATCTTTTTTGGGACTTCTGGGTGGCTCAGTGGTTGATCATCTTGCCTTTGCTCAGGCGTGATCCTGGGGATCTGGGATCAAGTCCTACATTGGACTCCCCCTTGGGGAGCCTGCTTCTGCCAATCTCTCTCTCTCTCTCATGAATAAATAAATATTTTTAAAAAACATCTTTTTTGTACTAAAGACATCTCAAGAATTCTTTCTTAGCTGTTAGCTCTGAACCCCAACATTTCCTACATTGCCTTGCATACACTTTTCTGTGTATATAGTATATTTTACAATAAAAAAGAAAAACTAAATATTTTTTATAGGGTCAGAATATTCCACAAGTAAAATTCTTATATGAAATGGGGAAGTGAGGCAAGCAAGACCTATTGGCAAAGTTGCTTTTTAGCTTTTCCCAATGTTTAAAAGATTACCACCTTAATAAGGGCATACATCTTCAACATGGATGGAACTGGAAGGTATTATGCTGAGTGAAGTAAGTCAGTCGGAGAAGGACAAACATTGTATGTTCTCATTCATTTGGGGAATATAAATAATAGTGAAAGGGAACATAAGGGAAGGGAGAAGAAATGTGTGTGAAATATCAGAAAGGGAACTGGGTGTTATTCTGTATGTTGGTAAATTGAACACCAATAAAAATTAATTTATAAAAAAAAAAAAAAGAAAGAAAGGGAGACAGAACATAAAGACTCCTAACTCTGGGAAACGAACTAGGGGTGGTGGAAGGGGAGGAGGGCGGGGGGTGGGGGTGAATGGGTGATGGGCACTGAAGGGGGCACTTGACGGGATGAGCACTGGGTGTTATTCTGTATGTTGGTAAATTGAACACCAATAAAAAATAAATTTATTTTAAAAAGAAAATAAGGGCATACATCAATTCACTTGCCTTTTCATATTACATTTGAGCTGGAGGGCTTTATTTATATTGTAGTTAAATAAGCAAAACATGTAATGAATAAATACAGTGTATTTTACTCTCATCCATTAAATGGAAGTAACCAAATATAATTATATTGGTCAATCCAATAACTAATCCTGAGTCTTTTGGTTTAAACCAGCATATGGGA